ATACATGCATGTATGACTGTACACTAAAATACTGTTAAATTTCCTCTACGTCTTGCGTATTTTTTTAAATAAAGCCGACAATAAATACTTACCCAGAGAAATGTCTAACTTTGAATTGCGCTTTCCCATTTAGAAGACGTGGCGGTTCATCCAATTGATCTGTAATGTCTTTCCAGTCATGTGGTTCAACTAGAGACTCACAGTGTAATATCCTCAGTTCACCAGGACATAACTCTGCTGGCTCTTGCTTTCCTCTACGGAGGGTAAGAGGAATCCTTATTGTTACAGGCGCGATGAGAGTAACATTTTGAGAGCTTGAAATGTAAAGAACTGGACCGACAAGTCCTCCCTCTCCTTTTAGCTCACTGCTTGGGAATTCTTGTACCTGGATTTAAAAGCAAAACAAGTTATGTTGGACATATTCAACTACTCACAGCATAAAGTTCATTTGCTTTACATTATGAAAAGTGAATTTCAGGATGAAATTTCAAAACTACCTAAAACTATAGTACACAATGTAAATGTCCTCTCAAAGTTTTATATAGCAATATAAGCATTGTTATGAAAAAATGTATATATTGGACTTACCATAAAAAGTCTGATTGGTCAGGAGCACACAATCAATATACAATTAAGTGTGAAGTTATCATTATAATAACCCGATATCTGCAGCAGATATTGCAGGTATCATGTCGATTTCAACCTCTGCCTAGTTTCCAAGCCCTGACTGTCTGTGAAGTATTCTTAAACTTTTGTAAATTTAGAGAGAAGTGTCTTCCTTTGCAGTTTGATTAAAAGATGTATAATAAAACAATAATTTAATTTAGTTTTTGCATGATATCATAACTCATCAAACCCTATGTCTGTGTTATCTTTGGCTCCCACGGATAACTCAGACCTTGGTCTTGCTAGTTCATCATGATATCATGCTTAACTTCATCCACTAACTGCATTAATTGCAAACTAATACAAAGCGCAAAACCAATTTACCTGACAGGAATGATTTCAATTTGACATTTATGTCTAAGCAAAACAAAAACAAATGTTCTGTTTGTTGCTTAGAATGAGTTCTCCAAAACCTAGTTTTTAAAAAGGGAATTGCCAGGATCCATGACTACATTTGGGGACAGTAGTACCACAAATAATTTGAAGTTACCAAAACTAGTGATTAGAACATTACTACATGTATCTTCACAAACATGAAAGCACATGCACAACTGTCCTGTATTTACCTTAAAGTTGTTAATTTATATCTCTCTTTCCATCAATATTGCCACCAAGTTCATGGAATGTATGGCAAGTAACTGAGGGTATAGGCTATACTCTTGTAACACCTTTGTGTTATCTCCTTGCTTTAGACAATCCCCTCACGCCAATCTTACAACTTTCAAAACTGGAAAATGAAAAACTTGCAGAACTCATGCATGTATAGAATTTTAAAGTTCCATGTACCTTGATTGTGACACAGAAATCTTGATTGACAGGCACACAACTCTGAGGAATTTGGACACTGACATCAGGAAATTCAGGCACAATACAGGTCAATTCCGGACCTACTGCAGTACCTCTTGAAAAGGTGAAAGACTTAGGACGCCAGATTGCAGCAAATGAAGAAACTGCTGATTTTGTACAAACAGCTTGTGCAAATGGGAAAAGCCACTGGGGAACTGTTGAAGTTTCTGCGTGAAAATAAAAATAATGGTTGAAATTGCTTCCTTCAGCCGTGTTTTGAAGTCTTCAAGTCTTTAATTCTTTTGCTTCAAAGAATTAATTCTGCAACAACATGGTGATTAAGATAAATTTATATTAAAATGATTAAAATGCATTGTAGACTTCTTGTAATATCTATGCCATAATTACGCGTACTTCTTGGATGCAACTACAGGTAAAATAAAAAAAATAAAAACTCTGTTGGATTTTTAATGCTCATGAAGTGGCAAGAAGTGTATTTTGACATTATGAGTGTAGTTCGGAGGTCATGCATTGCAGAGATCAACATCAGTATCTGAATCAGTGCACACCTACTCCTCCCCTAAGCCAATAATAGTCAACTGCTAAGTTTAGGTTACAAGCTCGGGTTAATTTTGGGTTAGGAGAGGGGAGGTGCACAATTGCTCAGATACTGACATTGGTACCAGTGAAAAAGGGAGCCTGAGAATATAATTCAATAAGTTATTCACACTTGCATTTCATAACAACATAATGGTACCTGATCCATGCCAAGTATTCTCTGTCTTCAATTCCTTCCATTCATTGTTCTCTTGGTCAATCAGTTGCTTGATAACCACCTCATACCCCTCCAAATTTGGGGCACTGTGCAACAAAGCTACTGTAAATCTTGTTCCTTCAACACTTTCCTTGTACTCCAGATCTGGTGGGCCATCATGAGATAGTTCAATAACACTGCTAACCAATATCTCATCATTAGCAATGGGTGGGGAGAGGATTCTGGGGTTCCACAGTAAGCATCTACATGTAAATGGCAAGGGATGTTGGATAGCCTCACTGCAAAGTTGGATAGAGGCACCCGCTTCCCTTATGTGCCATGTGTCTTCCTTACCTCCGATTTTTCCTCTGAAATACAAAGGAAAATTAATCACCCAGCATTTTCAGAGCATTTTTGTGCAAGTGGAGTAAGCAATGACAAGGGTATTAAAATTGCAAGTAAGAAACTTGCTCAGATAATGACACTTAACCTCAAAACTAAATCTAAAAACTGTTCTAGACCTTTTTCGTTAATTTTTTTTCAGTCAGTTATTAAAGTTATTACTTTTTGCAACCCGCGAAACAGGCCATGTGAGCATAACACGTCACGCAATACACCACGCTGGGTTTGTCCAGTTGATTTTGATGATCGCAAGGCAATGTTGAGTTTGTCGCTCAAAACAGTTGTGCTTTGTGGTCCATAACAGCGTAAAATCATTAATTATGGAAACAAATTTGCAGAAAGGAGGGCTAGTTAAATGCGTAACTGTAAGAATTCTTTCAGAGTGTGCGCGTGTTGTTTTGTAAATAACACTGTAACGTATTTTAACTTGCTTGCGTGTCCTTTTAGTAGGCGTTAGGTAAGAAGAGAGGGTTCATCGGTATATTTCATAACATATGATCTCGTGGTAATTCTGAAAAACACAAACAGTTCCATCGTATTGACGTCATCTAATCCATTCATGATAAATATGCAGCGAAAAAGCATCGATCTCTCTCCAGAATGGATCTTTTTTGGACGTCGAAACAACCTTCGGCCATAAATTTCCTAACAACAACTTGCAATGTTTGCCCCGTGGCGATTCCAGAAATCATTGCGCAAACGCAAGCGATTCATTCATTTCCACTTACTCGTGTATCTTTATCCTATCCGGATCTTGTTCCTGCTCACTTTTTAACTCTTCGTCATCTTCTTCTTGAATTGCTAGTCGTTGCACTTGCTGACTAGCCTCTGGAATCTCTTCGCTACCATCGGAACTATCGTGATCATCATCATCATCATCGGAAGGAATGTCAACTTCGTTGTCACCGTCATCGTCCTCATTGAACAGCTGTTCAGCTTCTAAAATAACAAAGTTTTTTTACTTGACTTCACCAGTGAAAAGCAAATCCTGCATTTTTAAAAACAATTACAATAAAGCATCGTTCGCCTACGCCCCGTGGAAAGAAGAACCTTACAAAACATCAACCATGCTCATAAATAACGAAAGACACTCGCGTTCTCTCGGACATATTAGTAAAAAGAAAGCCTGCAACTATACTTATATAAAAAATCCTTTTTAACCACGTTTTTTATAAGTGTAATTGCGGGCGTTTTTAACTATTGTCTTCAAGAGACCGCCTTTGTCTTTCATTATTTAATATATGCGCGACTTATGGTCAAAGTATTCCATCATCAAATACCTTTTGCTCCATGAGAAAGAAATCCTTTCACGGTTCCCATCAAAGTTCCGCTCTGTTTGGCTCCCTGAGTGAGCATTTAAACGGAAAAAAGTTCAGAGAATCGCCATTAATCCGAATCTAAGTAACGTAAATGGGCTAATAAAAAGCAAAATGTGTTGAGCCACCAAGGATAATGTAGCATGCTTGGACAATGTAAGGATAACACTTTTGGTAAGTCTAAGATGCATTTGTTCCACAAGGAGACTAGCTGGGTAGATTTCGCGAGATTGCTCGGTTCAACCAATTAGAGAGTGAAAAACTAATGAAAGTTAGCGATTGTACTATTATGTATACTAAACTAAAACCCTTAAGAACTTCGTAATAGACCTCGCTCACATTAGAGTCTCTGTGCCTCAGTGGTAGAGCACCGGGGCGCGGAATCCGAAGGTTTGAGGTTCGATTCCTCATGAGGAATTTCTTCTTTGTCCCACGCTCGTGACAAGACGGAAAACATCTTTCTCTTAACTAGACCCCATTCAAGTTGATGTCAGCCATTAATAGGTTAAAGAGCTTTGTCATACCTTTAACAAACTCTCATACTTCTGTTTCTTCCTCTCTTTCATCTGTGATGTAGCCATTTTTACAAGGTTAGTGAGAATGTCGATTCTGTGGTGCTCTGACATTCCTTCCCTCTTTCTTTTCCATTTCTCTTCATAAAATCGAAAGGCTTCGTTACTGTACTTTTCGCCCTTACTTTTCTCGGAAAGCTGTGCACAGAGCTCACAGAGAGTTTGCAGAATTTCCTCTCTCTTGATATCTGGTAACTTTCTCGTGTCCGGTGAATTCCAAGCGCCTTCATAAAACCATAGAGCTTCTTTTTGGTATCTCTCCTGTGTTTGACGGTCGCCAAATTCACCAAGCCTTTTTTTTACTAAATCAATAATTCTCTTGTTGGCCAGTGAAAATTCAAACCCTTCGAAGGCTCTTTCTTCGTCCCAGTGACGAAGAAAAAAGTCGAATGCTTCTTGTCGAAACTGATCTTTCCTCTCTCCTTTGCGAAGAATCGCTTCGTACCTCTCAACGATGCTGACCATGACCTCGCTGTGGTTTCCTTGGCCCAGAGACTTCTCAATCTCCCATGCTTCCTCATAAAACTTTTTCGCTTCGTCAGAGTCCTCCAAGTCTCCACAAATCTCCGCAATTTGGAAAGCACTTCGAACAGTGTCAGGGTGCCTTCCCAAAATGACCTTCCGGATCTCGTAAGCGTTCTTTGCAGGTTGGTAAGCGTCTTTAAAGTTTCGCAACCAACAGTACGCGTTAGCAATGTTTCGATTGAACAGAGCAGTGTTCAGCATGCCCGGGATTTTTAGCTCCTTAGCGAGCTCTATGGCCTCTTTGTAGAATTCGATTGCCTTTTCAAATTGTTTCTTTCCTTCATAAACCGTCCCGATCTGTCCTTTGAAGAGGGGCATGTCAAAATGTTTCATTGAGCCAGAAAGCTGTTGTCTCATATCGTATGCTCTCATGTAGTACTTTATGGCCTCGTCATGTTCTCCTAGCTTGTTGTGGCAGTTTCCAATGGCGTTTAAGCACCTTGAAGTGCTTGTGTGGCTGTGAAGTACATTTTCCATTATCTTCAGCGCCTTGTGCAAAATCCTCAGTGATTTGGCCATATTTCCAGCTCTGTAATAAACTTCACCCTTAGAGAACAGGTAGGAACTCTTGGTCAACCTAAAGGATTCTTTGCTCTTAATTTCCTTCTGCACTTTGCTAAGTAACTCTTTCGCTCTCCTCGCGACTGTCAATGCTCTCTGCCATCCCTCAAGTTTAAGAACCATCAATGTTTCGTGGCATTTTAGTTCTGCTCGAAGCAAGGAACCTAAAAAGACAAGGAAAACAAGTTTTCTCTCCCTCTTAGTTTTATGCACATTCTTAACCAGAGAGCGTTTTTATCTCTTCTTAGAAGGTCAATGAGAGTTAACTTCAGGAATGTTTAGAGAAAGTTTGGGTAGGGACGCATCTGCATCTTCAAACCCTGAACCAATTCAGGAAGTTACCCTCTACGAGATTAAAAAAAAAAGATGCGTATATTGCGACAAACGACCTTGTTGGGCCTGGTCAACAAAACTGAGAAAAAGTATACCGAATCTTAGTGCAAATACCCTGTATAACTTCATCGCGAAAGATCTTTGGGCGTTTGAACAGATTCGAACAAAATAATAAGGCGGTAAGCTCCTTACTGGAAGGGTCAGATTACACTCAATAGCTTTGATTGTGTGATCTGATCGCCTGGGTGAGTGAAGTCCTGAGAAGGACTGTTGTCGGAAGTGGTGACTGAAGTTTCGACAACCTGAGCTAAAGTAACCACCAGAGTCAAGTAAACTGTCATTGTCAGTCGAATTTAGTTAATTTTGTTTTGTTAGTTTTTCCATCGAGTCGATGGCTAAGTTATACTACCGAAGTATCCAGAAAAACTCCCTACGTAAACTAAGACTTTTTTCTAGTAAGTAATAAAACTCTACCTTCCTTTCCATCTTCCTTGACCTTTTCGGCCCAGCAATTAAAAATTTTCTTCCTTGCTTTTACGTCAAGCATGGCCTCGAAGAGATAAAAGATCATAACACTTCCACGATGCTCTTTTGGGATAAGAAGATGGTCTGACTTGAAAGAAATATCCAAAGTAAGTTCAAAGTTTGGTTTGTCAAGATCAAAATTATCGAAGGCATTCATGTAGTCTTTGTCCAAAAGCTTGGAAATGTCTACCATTTTGGACATGAAATATTTACAAAACCTGGCTTTTGCCTTCTCGTAAACTTTGACGAACTTCTTTTGGTTACTACCGATGCTTCTCAGAAATGTTCGCACCAAAGGGTGGATGTCATATGTGAGTTCTTTCACGTCAGGGTCTACCGTTAGCACTTCACTATTCCTGAGACCTTCTAGTTGTATAACAGCTTCTGACGAGTCCACTTCAAGGACTTCGGCTGCTGCCTCGACAGAGACAGAGCGACAGAACAGTGACATCGAAATGGCAGAATCTTTTAACTGTTTACTTGGCAAGAAGAAAAACATTTTTCTCAAACAGCTTTCTTGCTCTTTATCAATGCCTTCCTTTTCAGAGTCGAATACGTCTCTCTCTCCACTCTCCTCTGCTGGTGGTATTCCCGATTCTTGTGGCTTGGCTGTTAGTGGCTGCTCAATCGTTTCCAGAATCCTGGTGTCATCTGCTATTTGTTGCCTCAATATTGCTGCCATTCCTTTTATGATAAGGGGATTCCCTTGGCATATCTGCAGTAGTTTCTCTATCTGATCCTCTCGAACGCTGCCAATTCTCTGACTTTGGAATAGAGCACTTGATGAAGCTTTCTCTAAGGCCATAACTTCGTAATTGTCAACGTTGGCCAACTTTGCGTGACGAAGTGTTGATCTTGATGTCAACAAAATCTTCAATTTCGATTTCCCCGGATAATCCTTTGGACCTAGAAGTTCTTGCAGAAACGTCACAAAATTGGCATTAAGGGAGGTAGAAGCTTCATCATCTCCTCCTGCAAATTTATCGACGTTATCAAGGAGCAGCAAAATGTCACTGTGTTGCTCTGCCTGCCTTAACTGTTGCATTAATTCAACTACTGGATTTGCTTCGAAGCTTATGATCGTTTTGTCTGGTGCTAAAGCGTTTAAAACGTGAAAATGAACGTCTTCCATCTCTGTGATGTCTCTAAAATCAGCCTTGAATTTCCTCCCTGGCCACTTCGAAATGGTTTCCATGGCCAATTTCGTCTTGCCTACACCACTAATTCCATGCAAATTGACAACACACGAACTCCCCGTTGTCAACATTGCCATAACTTCCTTTAGGTCACGTTCTCTGCCGGTCAAACCTGATTCTCCCTTTCCAGGACTGACCTCTTGTTGGCGGTTTTCCTTAAATTGTTGAATTTTTTCCTTTAGCGACTTTTTCTTGGACGTTTTCGGGCTTAGAAACCCCTCCAACAAAGTCAGATTGTCCTCCGATACAAGACCCTGCTGAGCAAATAATTGGAGGCATGAGTACAAATCTTGTTCTCCTTGATCCTCAAACTTGCCCCTAAAATTAGTTTTTATGGACGATACAGCATGCCCTAGTTCTTCGGGGCTGAGTTCATCGGACACTCCTCGAAGAAGCTTTTGTAAACGAGGAGAAATTTCTCCAGAAGCGGAGATTGTCTCGACGGACGCCATCTTTGTTTAGCGTCGGTGGAGGCAATGTCGCACGACACGTGGCCGGCGTAATGTCTTCAAATTTATGCAGGAGAATGATATGATTTGTGACTGACAAAAGCAATTTTATTTACGTCACCCAGGAATTTACCTTTAGTGACCGATCTCAGTTGTTATCATACAAAGCAGTTCAGTTGAGAAGCCGTGGTTTTAAACTTTTCTGAACGATTGAGTAGGAAAGTAGCTATGTTTATCACTAAGTAAAAGAGCACCTTTAATTAAAATAATTGATTTGATTTGCAGTACTTAAAGCATGAAACCACTTATAATTAAACGCCCTTTGATAAGCTATTAATACGTCTTTCGCATCCTCCGTTCCATTAACACGAATTTTAATCTTAACAAAGCTGCTCTTCGGCTGTATTTCTGAAAGCGATTTCACCAGCAGTCACAACTTGACGACTGGTCTGCCGTTCAGCAAAGCGAATGCCGAGAGAGTCGGGGTTAGGAACCAATCTTTCGCGGCTCGTTCCACTCTGTAAGCGGGAGACCTGTCCTGAGGCTATTAGTTGTTCAGTTGAGTTTGATCTCATGTAAAGTTTCTGTGAATGATAAAGCAAAAATTCGGCAAAATGAGACGTTATACTGGGCACTAAAATGACAGAAATGGTGTTTTACTAGGAACCGTTAATTTGACGGGAAGTTTACAACGTATTTTGTGTTACGTGCCTCTGATTTTGTTTATCGTTTCGAAGGCGAGCTACTTACATGCACCCCTTGCAGGATTGGGTTACGGCAAGGAATGTCAAAACAAATCGTATTTTTTTGCAGTTCGTTTCCTCGGGATTTTTTTCTTTGTTTTTGTATTTATTTACTTGTTTGTTTGTCTTAGCGCATTAAATTTTTTTAATATTTGTTGAGACCAACATTTACTGCCGCTTTTTAGATCAGTGGCGTATCCAGTGCAGTTCATTCTGTTCTACAGAACAAAAAACGATAGAGAAAACTAAAAACTGCACGTCCAAGAAGCGAAACAGTCGGTCGCGGATGAGAAATCAAGAGAGAAAAAGAAAAAGAGAAAGGAACCAGAACATTATGCACAGTTACCTTGTGAATTCGAAGAAATTTATTTTTTCTCGAAGGAAATGAATTGGCCCGCCTCTGCTTGGTAGTTGTTAATGAAACTCTGCGTGCAAAAATAAAATTTAAGCTTTAAATCTAGATGCTTAAAAAAAAAAGCATGCGTAACTCATATTAGAGAAATTTTTTTCTTTAGCTCACTTTTGCGTTACAATTGATCAATAGAGTGTGAACTATCGTTAATGAACTGGCCCGCCTCTGTTAACTAATTAGCATTATAACAATTAAACGTGAGTGCCAAAATCAAATAAAAGCTTTACATTTACATGCCTAAAAAACGCGTGCTTAACTCAGATTAAAGAAATGTTTTTACGAAGTCGAAACTTTTTCTCTCAAAGTATTTATTTAGTTCACGTTTTCGTTACATCGGATGACTAATAGAGTGTGAACTGTCGTTAATTGGGAAAAAAAAATTGCGGTTCATCTTGTACGCCATTTCTTTTTGCCGCTCGAATTGGATGGACAAAATGTTAGGGGGGTTGGAATTAAACTTCCGCTTGATCCACTTAAAATGGAAAGGACAAGAGAGATAATCTTTAGATTTTTTCCGTTAACGTTAACGCAACAAGAACAGGGATGATTGCCGTAAAGCTATAGACGGATAGGTAATAGAAAGATTGCCGAACAGGCACGCGTAAATTAACATATTGAAATACTTCTGTTTGTTTTCGAAGTTTTTATCGTTAACATTTTATTTTGTTTGATTTTATACAGTAAATTAAGCTTGGTTATGTAAATGAAATATTTAGGTTGATGTCAAATTTTAGAGTCTGTTTTGAAAGATGTTGACATTACTGACAGACGCTTGCAAAATATGATAATGAACGGTAGTATGTCGAAGCGTTTTCAGTTTTTAGACGAATTTTCGTCTTTGACATTGCGATTTACCATGACTTGACCTATCATTATTAAAATATGATGCGCTCCGCAATCAAGCAAAACATCACGAGCGATGCGAAATGAAACTGTCTGGTATGTAAACACTGAAGCGGGCTCCGTTTGCAATGAATAAAACAGAACACCATTCTCATTCTTAAAAAGCACATTTTCTTTCTAATCCTCACCGAAGATGATCGAGGTAGGTCGAAAGTTTCGAAGAAATCATCACCTGCGATATAAACACCACATTGTTCACATTCCGCAGCGTAAACATCTTAGGGAGCGCTGATTGCAGTGAATAAATTGAGAAGGATATTAGTGAGTATATGTTTCGTTACTCGCTGAATGAAACTCGTGTTTCGATGCCTTGGGTAAGTGACATTTCCTTCCCAGCCGATTCATCAACAACTCAAATCAAGCAAATCTACTGCTACTGCTCGTTATTCAAAACATTTCGCGAAGAGTAACATGCGTGAGTGTAACATGATTGCTTTTTTTCATTATGTAAATTTTCCATTGTCTACTCGCCGCTTTTTCAAACCTATAAGTCCTTTTTTTTTTACACAACAACGAAATACAAGAGAAAATTATAGCACCGAACAACAAAGGCACATGAATCGCGCATTTTTTCGACCGTGAGCGCAAAAAAATCGTATATACGCGTCTAACTACCCTGCGTCTGAGCGTATGAAATTTGTCTGCGCAGTTAACGTCTACGCGAGAGGTACGGTAGTAGGTTACAAGTTTTGGCTCAGTGAAACTTTTGGAAGCTTGGAGCCTAACTTGCCTAGGATCGAGGCTAGAAAAAGGCTCTGAATGGAAGTGCTTACCGAAGCAACCTAGATTTTACTTGGACTGGAATATCAAACTGTAGAAGATTTGCAAACTTCGGCTGAACGGACAGCTGAACCACAGATCGAAGAAGGGCAACTAATCACTGTGATAAAGGGATGTGTTTGAGAGTCACATGTAAAGATAGATCAATCGGATGAGTTTGGAAATATGAGCAAGGAGGAGTGCAGTCCTAAACGACGTCGGATGTATCATATCATCATCGGAACAGCTCAGGTCAGTACAAAGTGCAGACTGCAGACGGAGAATTTAAACTTTTTTTTCGTCTGATACGTCAACCTTACTGATTGTCACGCAATCGCTTTTCCGCCATTATCTTTCATGATCATCTGCTCTATTGTGGAATATTCTTTTTGTATTATTTTGAGATTTATTTTCGTAGCAAAATTGAAGTGAGATACTGGCAGTATTAAAGCTGAAATTCTTGCTGTTCCATAAGATACCGTTTTCGACGGTGGACTTGAAGGTCTCAAGCAAGACCTCGGAATCTTGAACGAACTATCCCACAACGTATTGTTATCAGTGACTTATGATTTTGAGAATTCTTGAAAGATTTTCAATAATGTTTACAAACATAATTTTTCGGGCCGTAAAAGAGAAGCTGCATCTCATATTTTCCTGAAGTATAGTTGAGTTTAAGGGTACAGCGTAACTGTGCATGTAACTCACTCCACGTCAAATAAGTAGACTAAGTGCTTTTCTCACATGCTGATTGGCTAGTTTGCATGTGATTAAAATACTATTTACCACTGTGGCGAGAAGCAAAATAGCCTCCTACTTCTCTGTGATGAAGAGGTAGATAAATTTTGATTAAAGCATAGCAAAGTGACAACTAAGTTTGGTTTGATTGCATTTCAGCAGATACTGTCCAGAGCCATGGAGGAGGTAAGTTAGTTAGTTACTTAATTTTTCCATTCATTGCATATTTCCACCCTTTTAAGGCAAAATATCAAGGTTTCTGAATACTGTAATGAGCAATTTATTGAAAAACTAGGAAACATGTAATAATTTCATGCAGTCTAAAACAGACAAAACATAAATTAGAAAGTATCAAGTAGGCAAATGTCCACTACTCTTCACCTCTGCATCCTAGCCCAGCAGTAGGATAACTCTTTTTTGGGGTATACATGATTGTATAAAAAAAAAAAAAAATTGGACTTTTATGCCCCATACGTAACTAACATGTAGATGTATGTTCTACAGTTACGAGCTGAAGTGGATTCATTTTAGAATGTGCTTACACTGTACATGATTGTTAAATATATGTGGCCCTCTATATGATTTAAGGGATAAAGATGATAGCATTTATTGCAGAGAATTAAAATATATACATACCATAATTAGTGTGTGCTGATGGCTTAAAGAAGTTTGATGTAGAAAGTTATGCCAAAAATGTAGCAAGCCAGAAACCATGTTTTAATCTGAGACATCTGAAAGAACACATTTTACAGGAAGTAGTAAAAAATTGATAACAGCCAAGTACCTTTCGATGCACTATATTACCAAAATATACATGTATCTGTGACATCATGGCATGATTTATAGCTTTTAAATGATAAAATGTAATGTTCTAAACATGGCAGTTAGACACAATGCTTGTACATGTAGAAAAATTAGAGAGATCCCTAATCAGTGACCTTAGCTATTATCAGTTTTAAAAATATTAATTTGTTCCTTTTTTTAAACTGATCATTTAGGAAAGAGTTGTGCCAACAAAATAATTAATCAGCTGCCATGCAATGGGAGATATTCCTCCAGTCAGAGATACCATCATGGCAACTGACTGGAGGTGGTGGTGGAGTTTGTGGGGAAAGGAATCATTGTCCTCACATCAGAGTTGTCCGCACAACTGGAAAAATTCCCTCATGGGGATGTCTCTGTCCTGGTCCCTGAAGGTTCATGTAATGAAAGGGGAAAAATGTATGCCAAGGGAAAAGCAGTGTTCAATCTATTATGGAAATGGCTGATCTTCCAGTTGCTTTTGGACCAAAGATGGCTGACAAACTTTCTGCTTCCCTCTCTCATCAGAAAAAAAGAGTTTTTGAATCTACTCCAGGTATACTCAGTAAATTTGTTGATGTCATACATACCCCTTGTGATAGGAAAAGTTTCTTATACTAGTCACAGGACATGACCACCCCGGCATTTTCACTAAGAGAGACTTGAAATTGTTGCTAAAGCAGTCACTAGGGTGAAGGATGGATCCTTTGAGATGATTTTTGTTAGTGCTGCTAAAGGAAAACAAAAGGGATTTGTTGAGAAATTTCATGAATGTGGTGTTCCTAAACATCAGATGATCATTTGAATCCCTTCAAATAATGGAGAAGAGTTGAAAAGGTGGCTCTGTGAGGCAGATCTTGCCATCGTACCCTCGGGTTAACAAGAATTTGGAATGTTTGGTCTTGCAGGGTTGTAATCTGGCCTCTCTATCTTAGTATATGTACATGGTGCATCAGTACTTGGTGAAGCCTTGACACATGTTATTAGTGGTTTGTCATCCATTGTGGAGTCAGAGGATGTCAGTGAGTGGTCCAAGGCAATTAAGAAGGTCAGGGACATGGCTAGGACAGTACAGCTTAAAGAGGCTGATTTACTGCGGAAACATTGCAGTGAGAAGTACAGTTGGGAGAAACAGTGTGGAGATGGTGTTGAGGAGATGCTGAAGATGGCATCTGGTATGAATTTTTTTTTATGTGACTTGCATGTATTGGTTATACATATAGTAGTTGTCAAAGTAAAGCAATGTACATATTCACAGCAATATAAATGTTTAAGTTGAGCTAGTGATATTTCTCATCATCATCATTGTATTTAGTTTCATCTGTTGTAGCCTGATAATGCAGAACAAATAACTCTGAAGAAGAGTAAAATTTTATGCCGTCAGGGTAGCCCATTCATCTCAAATTCCCATTCCTCTGTCTCATTTTGTCTTTTCTGTTCCTTTGCAGCTCAGCAAGACTAGACTCAGTAACATGGAATCTGAGTGAATGCATTGCTTAGGTAGTAAATCATTTCTTTTGATATTATTACAGAATATTGATAGGTTAACCAAGTGATTAAATTGTTAACCACTAATAAGTGATTACACCCATTATTTGGCTCTCCCTCATCATGTTTCTGCCTTAAAATGTTATGATTTTTTTAGGAGAAATTCCTTTTCAGTCACTCCTTGGAGTGACTTCAGTGGAGTGCTGGTAAATTATACTTTCTGAGACTTAAATGTAATTTTCAATTGTCCAATTTGATACAAACAATTTATTATGCTCTCCCTCATCATGTTTCTTCCTTAAAATGTTGTGATTTTTTTTAGGAGAAATTCCTTTTCAGTCACTCCTTGGAGTGACTTCAGTGGAGTGCTGGTAAATTATACTTTTTGAGACTTAAATGTAATTTTCAGTTGTCAAATTTGATACAAACAGTTAATTGGGCTTTCCCTCGTCATGTTTCTGCCTTAAAATGTTGTGATTTTGTTAGGAGAAATTCCTTTTCAGTCGCTCCTTTGAGTGACTTCAGTGGAGTGCTGGTAAATTATACTTTCTGAGACAAAAATGTAATTCCCATTGTCAAATTTGATACAAACAATTAATTCTAGTTTTGCCTTAAATTTTTTATTTCTCTGCAGCCAAACAAGACCAAACACCCTTAACCGGCATGAGAGGATGTGAAATGAACAATAATGTATTCCTTTGTTACTGTAAAGAATATGTACGCAGACCCCTGACATTTTTTACCTGTTTGCATTTGCCCAGTGCCTGGCTTATTTTTTTCAGAACAATGGTTATTAAAGTTGTCGATATTTAACTAAGTTATATTATTTCTTTGATTTTTTTACCTTTCTATTCAATAATCAGAGAGCTTTTATCGAACATGACAACCATACATATATGTTGTCTTTTCCCAAAGTGCCGTGTCCTGTTATGACCATATTTCCTAGCTGATACTCAGCATAGTTCTTGTTACTTGTCTGCATGACAGTGAAATAGAATTGTGAAGCGATTTGAAGAGTCATCAGAGAGCATACTGCTTGGATTCAAATGGAGAGACTTCACAAACTAGAATCTTTCTAAATATTTTTGAAACAGAAGTAGATTCCCTTGCAGGCCTGCAAAGAGAGGGGTGAAATGGTTGTGTACACACACACACCCCCCCCCCCCTCTCTCTCTCTCTCTCTCTCCTGTGTTATGAACTAACCCCAACCTTAAGCCAACCCTAAGGCTGTAACATAAAACCTTCATATGCATCAAGGCAAGGCATGTCTAAGGGTAACATTGCCCATATCATTTATGTTCATAGGAAATGGAATACTCTTCCCAATTGCAAGTTACTTGCCCAAAGAGTTTCACTAGACAACACATGCTTGGGTTTTCAACCCTTAGAATGTGCTGGAACAGATTTCTAAGCAAATCTTTTGAAATTTTTAATCCTTTTAACTCCCATGAGTGACCAAGACAGAGTTCTCCTTACAATATCAATATGATATAAAGCAGACAAGTGATGAGAATAATGGGGATTATTAGTTGATCCAATACCAAATTCCCCAAGCTAACATCAGAAGAACTATATGGCAGACAGTAGGGAGAATTACTAATGAGATCTTGGGAGTGAAAGTGTAAACACTGAGTGGTGGCCCCTGTGAAATGTATAGACCAGATGCTTACATGGTCAACTTGAGAATGAAGGTGAGAGGATGTCTGTAATTTTGGCATACAATTATGGAATGAGATGAAAGAACAAGCAACTATTCCAACCTTTAATGTATTCTTTAATTAATATTCTCCTCAGAGGTAAGAGTTTAAAAAAAATTCTATATTTGACCACAGAAATCACTTACAGTAGCCTGCCTTCATATGATCTCTGTTATGATATTTTTCAAAAACATTGAGTGTATATTAAAAATATTTTGCCCATCTCTAAAAATTTCTTATGGCTGACAAAATGGACTGTATTTATCGAGGATATGACTAATTAGGTAAATGTGGTAAAGATTCAGCCAGCTGGAGGTAACCACTAACAAACTTAGCATAATTGCAAGGGGTAATGCCATGGAAGTTAAATCCATCAACTTATGCATAGGCAAAAAAAAAAATTGGGTGTCTGACTGGATTGACATAATCAAGCTCAATCTTGAAAACTGATGATTTGCATTTTCATAATTCCTCCTTTAACCACCAAAGAGCACGTAGTAATTTATGATACTGACAATTAACAATATTGAACACTTTTATAGATAGACCTCAGTCAGTCCTATGCTTTCCTATGCTTAAGTACAAAATAGAGACACTCGACCACTCTACAATAGTAATAATATCACCATGAGTGTTCCCACTTCTGGTGATGTATCAAATAAACCAATCACAGTCAATGCACCAGATGCCACCCGTAAAGAAAAAGAGTTACTCAGCCATCAGTAAGTAATGAAAATTTTTCCGTCACCCAACGCACATCAGGGAAGTAGCCCAGCAGTAGGCATTCTGTTGGTAGAAGTGAACAAAATAGATTGCACACCCAAGTTTTTCCAGTATCATGAACAAAGTCATGTGGAATATGAGCCTTTTTAGCCAACTCCTCAATATAAAACAGTATTTTCACCTTGTAACACATTCTTTGTTGTCCTCAAGGTAGACCAAAACAGTGTTAAATCTATGTAATAAAATTTATCTTATGGTCCAAAAATGCTTAGGATAATATTTATAGTTATAGCAAATATACATGTATTCAAAATGTAATGCGTATCCAGTGCTAGAGCGGTTTTCTGACATGCCGATTTCTAGACAGAAATCTTGAAATAAAAACAAATTCAAAAATAACCTTCCTGCCATAATATGACATGTTATCACTTTTCGGATAAAAAAAAAAAAAAAAAACAGTTTAAATCCTCAGTCTGCATTTTGTACACAGTCTGCAGTCTGCATTTTGTACCTATTCTGCATTTTGTACCCGGTTTGCAGTCTGCATTTTGTACTGACCGGCCATTGGTGTGTTTTTCGAAGGTAACGATATCTCCGTTTCGTTACCAACTGGCTACGTAAAATCTTTGATACACCAAGCAGCGCCAGCGATCGATCGCCTCTCTCCTCTAGAAGAAACCGGTCACTATAATTTTTGTGCCGCCAATTAAAGCTCTCACAGAAGACCAGCTTCACTATCTTAATGTACTTGGGCCAAGAGGATTGTCCGCCTTCAACTTTCGGACTCTTTGCGGGCGGTGCTGCGAAACTATTAAATTAAAGCTAGTTGTTCCTTGCAGCGATTCCTTCGACTGAGAAAAGAGTCGCTCTTTCTTCACGCTTGCAGCGTAACTATCACTCAAAGAAATCTGTGAAAACCTTGAGATTCTGCGGCCAATGATCCTACTTTTTTCGACGACTGCGGCACTGTTTACAAAATTTAATGTAAGCAGAAACCGGCGCGTGGACGTTGCAATTTCGTAAGCGCGATGCTAATCGAACATCGTCCTTTTCTTACTCTACACCAAAAATCGCTCATAATCTTTTCCTATATCCTTAAAGCAAAGTATATATTTGAGCTCGGACGCTGAATTGCAAATTTACCCGAAAAATGGGAATGAATTCACTTCAAAGTTGTTGTTTATATCGATAACCTTCACGCCAACACGTGCCACTTTAGTTTGCATAAATTAGAGTGACGTCACAGAACACGATTAGTGTCAGGTTTGCGTAGACGTTCCGACCTCGCTTCCGTTTCACCTTGATGGGGGAGGGTACGGCTACGCGTGGGCTATTTTGACAGCTTGGTCCTAGGATTGATGGACACAGTAAACTGTCAGAAGGACCTTAAGAAATTTTCTAAAGAAGAATGGAAGAAGGTGGGGTAACCTGCCCTGCGCTTGACTGGGTTAGTGCCACTGAGACCATGGAAAGCTCCGGTCAGTTGAGCCTTATAGCTTCTACATGAAATCTGACATACCCTTTAACATCGTTTTATTGATTAAGTGACGGTTCAGCCGAAAGTTATGATATACTCCTATTTGCCCTAAACTTATTGTGGTTTATTCTATCTTAACTTACAATGATTTTTTGAATCTGTGAACATACAAGTTTTCTAATTGTTTTTCTCTGAACGTAAACAGAGTTTCATGAGACTTAGTGGTGTATGAACGCTGTTCTTCTACGAGGACGTGAATTCAGGCAAAAGATTAGTAATCTTTTTTTTTTTTTGCCTATGACACGGAAAAAGAAGGTCGCGGAAGTGGTTTTTCTTGTGAATTTAATGGCGTACACTACTTGTTTATTCCATCTCCTGCGTCTACTATATCCTGATCATATAGACGATATTATGCTTATGATTATGTTTGTTATGTTGCTATGGAAATTGATAGCGATTCGCCATTTTCACTGAAACATACAGTTCCTCCTTAACATTTCCCATGTGAGTAATTGATCCAGCGAATTGGTGAAGAGGATCAAGTTTGATCGCAGACTACAAGCACAGCCCCAAGAAAAATAATTTCTTGGCCTAAGTTTCGCACTCACGACTTTAATTGAGCTTTTAATTTCTTCTGACTTAGTCGTCTATTAAATATTTCTTTTAGTTCTATGAACACTCTTAGACCTGAGGAGTTTTTTATCCACTTTGTTGGGATTTCAAATAATTTCCGTTGTAAAAGGAGTGACTGGCAAATAACACTAAACTTATGAACAAAAATATAAACAGGTGGTGCCCTCATTTCTGACATGAGGGACAAACAATTAAGCATCACTTGTCTGCAACATGATATAACTTGAAGAAGAAACTTAAGAGAGTTCATTAGTAAAGGAAACAAGAGTGAAAATATAATTTATGTGTGAAGATTGTTGGATACATATTCATCTTTGTCCATTAAGTTCGCTAAGGTTGAAAAATGAGCTATTTACAGGGCAAAAATATATAAAGTAGAACCAAACGTTTTAGACACTAAGTTATTATCAGGGTAAATAAGCACTGTCCACTAAATTGCATATTTTATTTTATATCCTTCAGTAATTACCGACGGGAGTCGTTTCGCAACGTACTAGCAGGGGTGGATCCAGGGTAGTTTACCTGATTTCCGGAACTCACTCAAATTTTTTCCGACCTAGTTAAATGTTGATAAAAGTACTTTTGGAAAACACTCTAATTTCCCTTTGGAAACTACTGATACTTTTGTGGAAATCACTAAACGTCTTCCAGAAATAAACCATCTTCCTGTTTTACAGTTATTTATTAAAGAAAATACGTTTAGAATGACTAATTTCGTTATAATTGCGGTCATGAGGCGTTCGGGAGCGCTCCGGATCACGCGCTGGCCTTTCGAGCTTCGATTACACCTCGGAAATCGTCGGAAGCCGTCGGAAAATGTTCGTGGAGCCAATCTTTACGCAACCGGTGGGTGTAAGTCCTTGTTATTTGGTGACAATAACAGGCGGAACACAGTCAAAACCCCTCACGATTGGCTAGCAAAGATTTCGTCATCGGAACTCACTCAAAACACTCTTCTGATTGGCTAGTTGTGTTTGGAAACTACCTTGGAAACTACTGACAAAGTATAAAAAGGGCAGTTCCTCCCCCAGCGAGTCTCTTTCGTTGCTCCTACAATACTAGTGGGGTGTAGGGGGCTCTGGATAGAGGTAGTACCTTTGTCGTCTGGCAGCTGCATCCTACTTGGTAGGGTGGACGGGCACACTGGTCCTCATCCATCTCCTAAATCTCTCACGTGCTGGCTCCAAGCGCCACACCCCGGCACACCGCCTCAGCTGGCGGGCTAAACCACGTGAGGGGGTGATGTTTACACTGCATCACTACTAGGCG